AGATGTTCGCTACGTCCATCTCCAGTTTTGCAAAAAAGTTTTTTTGAATCCATCAAACTTTCTAAAGTGATATTTCCAAACGTGCATCAAAAATTGTTGATGGAAACACAGCTAGCATCGACTGTATCAAACAGATCCTGACACCTCTCATCTCATGATGAATGTAGTTTGTAGATAATCATCTAAACTGTCAGCTAACTCATTATAAAGTGGCCTGCTGTGTGAATTAGTGCCTCTGGTCTTTTTCCCTGAGGCTTAATATATTTCATAAAAGTGTGATGATTTCTTCTGATGTTAGTTAAGGCAGTCATTATATCAGGTGAGGCAGTAAACCTCCACTTTACTACACTGAGGGAAACCCTGAAGTCAACCAGCTGCTTCTAACAAGAACAGACAAAATACACCAATCACTGTCATTCTTTACACTTCTCGTTTAATCTACATTTGATCTCTTCTGCTTTTACTAACAACTGGATACAATGCCCGGAAGGCAGATAAATGAGTGATGATGAGTGCTTTCAGTATCAACCTAAGGAAAACTTGAATTGCCTATTGGTCATTGAACCTAAGAGCTCAGTTTCCATAGAACCTAACCTGTGCCTGACCTGGCCTCCAGGGGCTTGGGAAAGGTCACAGTAAAGGTCATGGTCAGCTCGACCACAACCTGACATAGCCAGCCTGACGCGGGGTGCATCCAACACTGTTTCAGTAACGAAGACTGCCAAGTCATGACCTAAGATGTTATTTAAAGCAGTCACACTGGGCACCTTCAAAAATGTATTTCTTAAAGCCAACCCAGTCCTATACAACACTTGTACATGCAAATTATAAACATAGCCATCACAGAACAAAAGCAGTGTATACGACTCTGACACTGATATCATCTAGCATTAGTGGCTGTATAGCCAAAAAAAGGGCTGAAACGATTAGCGGATTAATTGATTAGTCGATCGAAAGAAAAATGAATCCCTATTCATTTCCAAGTTATTTGTCTGGCAGCTACAAATGTTTTATATCAATATAAATTGAACATCTCTGAGTTTAGTAGTTGAACAAAAATTGTATTTTGAAGGTCTTAAGGATGAGTGATTCCTTGCTATTTTCTGACATTTCATAGTCCAAGTCGCTTTTTTGTCCTTCTACTGCAATTTCATCGTTCACAAGCTGCAAAAAAAGTGTCAAATTGCTGATTACATTCTGAGTAGCTAGAGTGTCACTGTTTTTCTCACAGGCACCAGCATGGGCCTGGCAGTGCAGGTCTCAGGTCTGCCCTCGTCACCCCAGAGAGAAGAATCCAATCCTGGGAAGGGGCTGGAAGGACAGAGCAGTTAATCACTTCTCCACTCTGCATTCACATGAGTGGTGAGCAGTTCTGAACTTGCACTACATAGTATAGAACCTGTGAGAGTCCAGGTTGAGCCCCCCACATCCCCCCTCCCAACCACGCACCCACCACCCCCATTCACATGAGCAGAGAGGATTGGGGTCAACCAGCAAAGCGACCTCAGATGAGAAACCCTCAAAAGAAGAAAGAGAGAAGACCCCCACCCCCTCCACTCCTCTTACAAATCAGAGAGCATTACATTTGAAATGACATCCTTTCATCTCTCATGCAAAGGAGAGACAGACAAGTTCATTTCACTCGGAAACACAGGCGTGGTGTTTCATAAGGATACGGAGAATGTAATTAAAAACCGACAAATAACACCATGTTCAATTAATGGGGATTTACAGTAGAAAATCCTTCTTTACCAGTCATCCATCCTCCCCTGCTCTTAATACCATCTCACCCTGGTCTTCATTTAAATTGCTGAATCCCACTTCCATCTGCTTGGTCTCGGCCAGGCTGGATGTTTAAAGAAGACCTTGCCTTGGTTTGGCGCAGTAGCTGGTGCTGACACCTCTGCTGCCATTAACAAGCAGGTCAAGTCCAAAAACCCTATTTCAGACACTTTCTTTTCGCTTTTATCCTCTTTCCTCGGCTCTGTTCAAAGGAGACAATGACATGAAGTACGAGGAAGTTCCTTTTCTTTCTTTTCCCCCTCTCTTGCTCTCACCCCATTTCTTCTCCAAAGGCCTTTGACATAAACAGAGTCCATCTCTCCAACTCTCTATAAAGAGACCATACAGCCTCCCTGGGAGCTTCCAGACAATGAATTCACATTATTCTTGCAACACTTTCTCTCTCTAGTGCTGCACTCCCAGCCCAGCCCGGCTCACTTCTCATTCATTATTTCACTGCTTTTCTCTCTCTTGTCTTCCCAGATTTCCCCTTCTTCTTCTCTTTTTTTCTGAGTTCTTCCTCTTTAGCATTGTTTTTAATCCCACCTTAATCTCTTTCTCGAGCCCGTCAATGCATCGAGCATTGGCTCTCCCAAGCATCCAGGCTCAGATGGCTCTTTCCTCATTTGTACTTAATCCAAATATTCTGGGGAGAGGCCTAGATGTAAAGCAGGGGTCAACCGCTTCGTTGTTCTAAGCCACACACACACACACACACACACACACACACACACACACACACACACGGATGATAGACTAAGAGAAAGAGACAGTGAGAGGAGTAAAAGGACCAGGATTCCCCTTTGAAGCATTCATTCACCTTTAATTTTTCTAACAATGTTGCTTATCCATAGTCCATTTAACAGGCAGAGGGAACATCCGACCAGCTATGGCCCTGCGGTCCCACTTTGGAGAGGAAGGAGGGGAAAAAAAGTAGGCAAAAGCTTGGGAGGAGTAAAAAATAGATCAAAGTGTTTGTCCCGGCCCATTCAAATGCAATCACGACCCAATCACATTGTGTTCTCTGAGCGCTTTTAAGAGAACGGGTCAGTGGTGTTTTATTGTGAGTGGGAGCTAGCCTAATGAAAGGGACAATGCGAAGATTAGCAGTGCCAGCCAGGCGGCTCAAACTTCACCCTGGCTTTAATTGCTGCAAACAAGAGGAGATGTAGAGGCAGGGCAAACAGAGGACAAAAGAGCAGGGCAAGCGCAGAAGGAGGAGGTAAGAAGAGGTATGAAGGCTGGGTGATAAATGGAGGTATGGCTTTTATGGAGGTGTAGTGTGTCCATCTGGCCCAGGCTGATGTGGGATGTGTCGAGGAATGTGTGTGTGTGCTGGTGGGCCAAAGGTTCCAGGTACCTCATAAACCATAAATGAAAGCAGGGGATCTTGTAATTACAGTCCACATCTAAAGTCTAAATATAGCATCCCTGATATCATCAATTCTGTGACTTGGTCTTGCTCAAAAATAAAGTCAAGTCAGCATGTCCTAAGAACTTTGGGAAATGTTCTTAAAGGTGCATTATGTAACATTTAGGAGGATCTATTGCCAGAAATGGAATATAACAGGTAATAAAGTAATAGTTATGTTTTCATTAGTGTATAATCACCTGATTATAGGAATGATGTTTTCTTTAACTTAGAATGAACTATTTTTATCTACAGATGCCACAGGTCTCCTTCCATGGAGTCTGCCATGTTAAACCACCATCACAACATGTTTAGTTTGGTTAGCATAAAGACTGGATGCAGAAGAAAACAGCTGGCTAACCTGGCTCTGTTCAAACTGAAAAACACACCTACCAACATCTCTAACACTCAAAAATGTAAAAGATGACAATCTTTGATTTTAGCATGAGTTACATGTTGGTGCTATTCCTGACAAACAACGGTTCATTTGTTAGCTCAGTACTTCTATGCACAGTAGGTCAGTATGGTCGGCTAGTTACACCAGAGATCGAGATGGATATCGCGAGCTGGCACAGGGCTTGACGCGTGGACACAGCAGCAGCACAGTGATCATGGGTCTTATATTAATGGGTTGGGTCCAGATTTGATTAATTGTTGGTCGGTTCCGGGTTCTGAGCTCAGCGGGTGTGGCCAGTTGGGGTTTGCAAAATTGGACCTGTGTAGGACTGATCTAGGCTATACTACCCATCCGGACTCCAGCTTTATAATACAGTTGATATTCTTCTCTCACTCTCTCACTCAAGAATGCAATTACACACATTTTGCCAAAATGTTGAGCTATTCTTTCACTTTTACACAGCACACCAGTGGGTGTGGTGATTGAGGAAAAATGGACATAGCAGTGTCCATAACTTGCTCAGATACACAAATGAAGGCAAAGATATGGAAAATGTGATGAATACACAAGGCAACAAAACCAGTCCTCCACTTATAGGCAATCATACAATTAGTGTTGGTGTGAACAGCCGGACTTATGGGCCAGCTAGACTGTTCACCATGTCACTTCCAAAGCCTACGTGGTCTTTTTTCCGAGGATGAACTGTCTGCACCCAGCTAACAAGGTTAGTTCCCACAGGCGTTGATTTTAAAGTAAGACTGTCTTCCTAAGACTGTCCTCTCTGATCAGTACATTGGGTGTGTTTGTCATGTGTGCTGGCGCTACAATAAACAATTAAACTGAGTTATGGCCTTTCTTCATGTGCTCCATCGTCAGCAGTGTAACATTTCTCTCCTCTCCTGCTCTCCTCCTTTCATCCTTTCATTCCCTTTTTTCCACTCCTCCCTATGTTCACAGAAGTGCCTGACAAAGCACTAGAAACTGATGCTTACACTCATGGGCAATGATGTCATGTTACAGTTCACCCACAATATTACCGAGGTCTGAACTGCGCCGGCCATGATGCATCAAAACAATCGGGGTCATTAGAGGACAGAGGGCTTTTCGGGCATGAAGGCGTACAGCTTGAGGTAGGGGTGGAGTACAAAATCTTTTGGGTGAGCGCCTTTTATTTCCAAAATGTCCTCTAAACTTTTCAAAACTTGAAAAACATTCCTATTAGCATGTTTGATTTTTTCATGTTTAATCAACCCAAGGGATTGTAAAGTTTTTCAAACCATGTAGAAACCTTGTAATCCACTTACAGAGATAACCATGTCATCAGTTTACAGTTTAAAAAAGTGGGGATGTTTTCATATGACAAAAGCCTGCAACACTTCAAGAACCAAGAAGTTACTGGCAGACACTTACGAGTCCAGAGCACGTCGATATGGCTGCAGAGGAGGCGGTCAGGTTACGGATAAATCCCTGATACAGGCAGTTGTGAAACCCCACGTCACCCATCACCGTGGCGATGCCATCCGTGCCGAGCGTCTGCACGGTGAACCCTGGTCCGACCACAGAGGACGGATGCAGGTCCAGGTGCATGTCCCGCCCGAAGGCCGAGAGCCGGTAGTGCAGAGAAGAAGAGAGGGACCTTCTGCTGCGATGGCTTCGCCTGCTCACATCGTGAGTCAGGTAGCCTCCCTCAGAGTCCACCTCCACCGGGGTTACAAACACGTAGTCTGAGGAGATGAGGGATGGAAAGGAAGTCACGTGAAAGTGCCAACGTCAAATACTCAGATAGTTCTGCTCCAGGAGTTATTTTGTGTTTGATTTGTGTTCCTTGGCATACACATTGTCTAACATCCTGCTTCATCTCCTTCTGCTTCAGTTAGTCATTTCTTAGCATTTTCCAGAAAATATTTGGCCAAGGAGGAGTGCACACATTTCCATCTAGCGCTAGTTTAAACGTGTCAGTGGAGAGAGTGACACTGACACCAAAGCCCCTATTCTAAACACAACAACTGGTGATTGTTGTGCATTCTGCTTTTATTAGTGTAAAGCTAATGTTGGTGGAGACTCCCCTTTTAAAGAGAAAACTTTATCTTTCTGCACTAACATTCGCTGAATGTCAACTACTGTTGATATTTTAGATAGCCGAGAACAAAATCTGATACCAAACTACATCATTGGTGAGATCAAAATAGCTCAACGTGGTGTCACGTTTAATCAGTTATACCAAGAAATGCACCCAGAGGCACAAGATACATCAGCAGCACCTGAGCAGAAGTGTCGATAAGAAACAAAGCCTCTGTCACCGAGATGACACGCTTGTGTTGGAGTGCAAGGTTCAGTGCTCAGCTGCTGCTCAGAGCGCAGCGCTTCATATGGATCACAGATGGCTTTTACTAACAGAAGCCATAACGCCAACATCATACTTCAACGCATGTCAGATACAGGTCAACACCACAGAGCCAGAGGTTGTAAATATTACGATGTTCTGATTTCATGCAGTTGTCATGGTGCTCCTAGCGAATAAAATGCTAAAATTATATATTCACCAAGCATTTCAATACAGTAGAGCAGCGAGATACTCCATAGTAAAAGCAGAAACTGTAGCAATTCCGTAAAGTTTTTTCCTCTCTCTTTCAGCCTTGTTGAAGGATCTAACTTTCTTTATAGTCTGCACCTAAACCCTTCAATAGTGGGACTGCTGCCAGGGTGCTTTCTTCCCAATTAGAGAAAAAGTCTACATCCCTCCTTCCTGCACTAAATCAAAGTGTGTCAATAATCTCAACTTGTTTCCTCAGTTTCTACAGGTCAAAGCAGCCAACAGGGAATCCCTGAGTGTGCACTGTACTCCTGCAGCAGTGTCAGCACATTATGAAGATTTAAACAGGGGTTCCTAGCATTTGTACCAAATAATCTGAGAATGAAATTGTAATATTCCTTGTTTCATTCAAGTTGAGAAGCACTGGTCTAATAACTGAACCCATCACTGCCATAAATCTCATTTTATTCCCATTCTCTCTACAAACATTGTTTCCTGCCAGCTGGAAGAAAGAAGACAAGCACTCACCATGATTTAATCCGTGGCTGTCGCTGGAAGAATAGCTGGCCGAGGCGGTGTGGGAGGTGTGTGAGCAGTAAATGTGCAGCGTCTGCAAAAAAAAGAATAAAATAAAAAAAAAAAATCATAAATGGACAGGTAGCAACAGGTTGCAAGCACTGGAAGAGGTGGAAGCCAGAAAGGTGATAAATGGAGTTCCTCTGTTGAAACATGTGTTGCACTTGATTTTAATTTGGGATGACAATCACTTGTCTTACTTTTCACCACAATCAACCACCACAGCAGAACAGGGAGCAGTTTGTTGACATAAATCATGCTGAAAAGAGGCAAATGTTTGGTTTTTTTGCTCCCAAATTAGACTGGTTCATGTGTTGGATTTAAGAGTATACATTTTTAGTAAAGTGTCACATGCCTTGATAATATTCCAGGATAAGAGGGTGGGCAGGAGCTTGAGTGAGGTGCAGCCGACCAGCGGGATGGGTAAAGTCCATATCAGAAGAAAAAGACAATCCATGGTGATGGCACGCAAGCTGACACCTGCCCCGTTACCTCCTAAAAGTGCGCAAAAGTAGTAATAACCTGCGATATCGCATAATGCAATATGCACGCATTGTTTAGTGGTTCTGTTCCCCCGCTTTGCTCGTTCAGGTGAAGTCGGCAGGTTGCAGCAGCGCACAGACGCAACGCGCACTCATGAGTGTGTTTGTGTGAGTGTGTGTGTGTGTGTGTGAGTGTGTGTGTGTATGTGTGTGGAGGAGCAGCAGGTAGCGGTGTCGGGGATCACCGGGAGGAGCGCTGACTGAGCACTCAGCCCGGCTCTGTGAGAGTCGGCCTGCAGGATGGAGCACAAGTCAGCGGCCAGCAGCCAATCAGCGCGGAGATAAAAGAGAAGAAAAAGAGATTCTCCTCCTGGCAGCGAGAGCATGGGTTGCTGCCTTCAGGTGCCGCTCGTAAATTTCTACTTTGAAAGTTTTGTGAGCAGACCTGTGACTTCCCACTGGTTTTAACATTGGTTCTGTAAAAAAAACATTAAAAAATACACGCAATGCACGTGATTCACTTTTTTATGGTTTTATTTTTTAAGTGTAATTACAAGAACCTGAACAAAAAACATACATAGACAATACTACACTATCAACTGCAGGCTACTGTACTGTACTACAGTGAGGTACTTTCACATGACTTTTTCTATTTTATGCTACTTTAGTACATTTCAGAGCTAAATTTTGTTGGCTACTTTTTACTTCACAACATTTAACTGAAAGCAGCTGTGACTTTAAGATTAGGATTTTACAATAAAGGCCCGCTGTGTAGGATTTACTGGCACCCAGTGGTGTAGTTGCAAATTACAACCCCCTCGCTTCCAAGCTATGGTGGCTGCAAAACGCTCTATATAGAGCCAGTGTTGGGTTTGTCCTTTCTGGGCTGCTGTAGAAACATTCAGATTCAGCCTTTATGGAAAGAGACCTGCAGCGTCTGTAGCTATGAAAGGCTCATTCTAAAGTAAAAAAAAAACAACATGATTCTTATCTGCAGGTTATTTTACACTAATGAAAACATAGTTATGCATATTATATTCCAATTTTGCCAATAGATCCTCCTATATGTTACACATCAGGCCTTTAAAAGAAGCATACGTTTAAGAGGAGCCTTTTTGGCTTATAACCCTTTAAAAAAGCAGTGTCCTCTAGGGGCCCATTGTCACCTCTACTTTAGTATTTTTACATTGCTGCATTAGTGCTTTTACTTAAGTAGAGGATTTTAATATTTCCTCAACCACTGCCGCAAAGATTTTTAAGCTTGATATCAGTCCAATTCATATGGCTTTCCAATATGCCCCATTTTTTCAGCAACAAAAACTATACAGATCGGCCAGATGGTGGTGCTATAACAAGGAAATGTTGTGTTTTGGTCCAGCTTACATTCCTTTACACAACACAAATGCAATACACATAATGATTTTGGTACAAATTTTTTTTTCTGACCCTCTGCACAGTTTTCTAATTCTAGACAAAATATACACAGTTTATATTTTATAACCGGTACCAGTATTACTATTATTATTACTGGTAGAGATGGGCAGGTTGATACCACAGTAACTGGTACTTCTACTCATCATATTGAACTGTATCTATTACTAAATGTTTTAATGCAGTTCTACACATAAATAGATGTTTTTTTGTGTGGAACAAACTGTGGTCAGGGAGGAAAAAATGTAAGTAGTAAGTATGGCATAGTGCAGTGGTTCCCAACCTTGGGGTCAGGGCCCCCACTAGAGATCGCCAAAGCTTCACAGGGCGTTGCAAGGCCTTCTTGAGTTTAAAAGGTTTAAGAAAACTTAGGGAAAAAAATACAAAATAGGCCAAAATCTAAACATTTCATTCATTTCTGCGAAGAAAACTGAATGAAATAGTTATTTCTAAGGTTGAGATTTTTATTTAAGATGTAAACTTGAACACAAGTTATATTCACAGAGCCTTTACTCTCTGATAAATAGCCTCGTCCTGCTTTAGAAAAGTACACAATTAAAACAACCAAAGAGCTGATAGAAAAGTTTCAGGGAGAAGAAAGCACTGAATTTTCATTGAAGTATGTAGGATTGTTAAAAATGAAAAAACAACATCACACATAATACAGACAAAATTGTATTTTAAGTTCAGTAAAACTCATCTCTGATCAATATTCACAGCAAATAATCTGCTCAAAATTCATCCAAATCTCTCGTTTTACACAAAGTTATTGTGTTCACTGTTTCATTGTGCAGTTTCTCAGTTGTTCTCTACTGTTATTGTTATATATTGAATATAATATCTATAAAATATGTCATGTAGTCAGGGGTCATCAGTTTACTCAATGATAGAAGTCCCTTAAGGAAAAAGGTACAGAACCACTGGCATGGCATGTATTATGCAAAAAGTTACTTATTTGGGCATTTATTTTTTATTATATTATGGTTTCATATTATAAAGAAAATGCAGACTGACCACAAAAAAACTTAATATTCTCACAATACAGACACAAATACTTGTGTCTGCATCAACAAACACAGAGATTCACTGGACCACATCACTATAAGTGCAAAAAACCAGCATGCCAGTTCAGGTGCTCCATGGGATAATTTCTGGTCAGAACTGAAAGACAGTAGAATCTGAGGGACTTGAAAGCCATAAATAAATATCAATGCCTTTACTGAATTTTGGCTTGAAACCAACATGTCTCCATTTCAAAACAAGTCTTCATCAGGGTGTGGCACACCCACACATTTGGTCACAGTCTATGTGCAATGGCAACTTTTGTTTTTATTGTCCTACAAGTCTGCCTCAGTCTCCACAAAATTTTACACAGAGGATATTTCATTTCCTACGTCTTCTTTGTATTGAGGAATTTTTACTTGTTGTGGCTGGCCTGCACATAAACAACTGTCAGTTAAGATGCACAAACAAGAGACGATTCAGATTTCTTGAATGCTGCTTAAGGCTCAATACTTTACCCGTTCCGGCATAACATGATCATTTGCAGGATTCCCTGAAGAAGCGTCAGACTATATTAGGCACCGTTTCATCTGCAAATGTGGAACTGTCAGCAAAATGTTTTATCTTAGGGTTACAAATAACAATATTCTCTAGCACATTCTATCAATATACCAACAAAAACAATACATGTGAATAAAACTTAAAAACAAAGAACAAAACAAGATCAAATGAGGACAAACACACAGGAAGACTGTAGCTTAATAAAAACAAGGATAGAAGACGGTGTATACGGGGTTCGTAAATCTGGTCTGCATGTGTTTTCTAAAATGCTGACTACCCATTAGAACGTGGTTCCTAAAATGAAGTCTGACTTTCCTGGGTCACCCATCTTAAAATTCGATTATTTCTGGCAGCATTTGAAGGCAGCATTATGCCCTTACTCCATTCTTCCCAGTGTTAACGACTAGTCAATTAAACTAGCCAAAATGGAGCCACATTGTTTAAGTGTTTTACGAGGCACATAATTAAATTGTTGAAGTGACAGGTTGAACACACTTCACTGGCTTGTGTTGTTAAAGCATGTGTGTCACCCTAACTCTTGTGAACAGGTGGTCCTGCAGTAGTAGCCTTTGCCATTCTGGTGGCTTGCAAACACCTGGATAGGTTGCAGGAATGCACCGACAGCCAACACACTACACCAATATTCACACTCCGCCGAGCATAATAAGGCTTCTCACAGCTCTTGCCAGCTTATCTGGCAGAAATAAAACATCACCTTAATAACCCCTCAATATTCTCATGGGGCTTCTGAATGTCTGCGCTACGTGTGTTTTAGAGTGTACTGACCAAATCAGAGCGGGTACAGTGGCACTTTGCTTTATAGTATCCTGCTGACATGTATCGCAGAGTAAACTGTATGCATTTATTAATTCTGCGAAGGATTTTTTCTAAGCCTCATTTTCTAAGCCATGATCAACCAACACATGCCTTGTTGAGGTCTGAGACACAGACCTGGAGAGCATCCCACACTGTCACTGGGCTGTCACTGTCACTGGTGGGGACAGTGAAGCTTTGTTTGAGCTCATGCAAGACACAATGGAGCAGGCCTCGACAGATGGCACTTGAGCTAAGAGATCACTAGCACTATAGAACAAACATAGCTTCATGATCCGCTATACAGCTCCTTAGTGTCACAGAAGAATTGTAATTAATGGCAAACCCATGTCTATTCACGGACATCCTTAATGGACTTCCCGGTAATCCCGGTAAAGAAATAAGTCAAGTAATAACAAATGTATTCTATTGAAACTGCTGGCAAAGTATTATTTACTCAGCTATAGATAACTCCTTCTGTTTTTGAAGCTTTTAAAAAGTTCTACAAATGCCTGTTTGAACTTTTTACGGCGATTTATGGAGCCCACGTACCCAACGCAAGAGACGTGATGACGTCACAGGACACTGCATCAAGCAGAAACAAGAAGACACCCCACACAGCCCGAACTTTGCAGCACACTGGAACAACAGCTCTACGGAAAGAGTGATCACATCAGACAGCCAATCCAGGAACTAGGAGAAGAATCAGGTTCCACTGGGTCAGTTCCATTTTGGGCTCACAATACTGTCTTGTTTCAGGCTGAGCCAGCCATCCTTGATTATATGTAATTTTCTCATTGCCCTCTTGTCATTGTAATAAACATGAAGCCAGGTTTGGTTTTACGGGCTACTTCTACAACCTGCACCAGATGGGACTGATGTGTTCTTTCATTGTGAAAAACTAGTGAAAGCTGAACAAAGTGTGGCTGTAAAAATGGCACTCTCTCTTTAGTACACTGCTAAGCATGTACAGTTTGGGTAAAGCTTGCTGGGAAAAATTAAAATGCAGCATAATCTTGAGTGTGCTGCAAAGCAGGGCTGAGTGAGCCCCTTGGGAGCCCATTAATAGATGAAGTCAGTGTGTCCTTTATATAAGGAGTTATTAAGCATTCACAACCACTTGTTCTACAAAAAATGTATGCTGCTTTTTTTCATCACTTTTTTATCGTAGAAACTTCCAAATAATCAGCTCAAGGCAATTTTTCCCCCATTCATCCTTACAGGAAAATGTTTAGAATTCACAGTTTTTCATGAATCTTTAACTACTTATTCATACTTTCCGTTAGAAACTCCCTTTGAACTCTCAAATGTTCCACATCTTTCAGACATTTTAGCTATCATTCCATTTACAAATCCCATTCAACTTTATTTGAAACAAAATTACAATGGAATCCAATTAGAAAACCCTTCAAAGCCACTCATCTGCAACCTCTTCCCCCCCATTCATACATTCTCATAGAAGCTCCGTTGCAACTTTAAAAGGTTGAGAACAAATGGGACTTTCTTACATTAATTCAGCTTTTCCATATTTTTT